ATGTTATGTTATGATTACAGTGATTGAAATACGTTTCAGCATGTTTAAATGACAAGGTCATCACCATTTGCACTCACACAAGGACAAAGTAAGGTTAAGTTAAACGCTTGACACATAGATAGTCCTTTACCCAGATCAGAGCATCCGGATCAAAGAAGGCATGTTTCTGAGTTGTCTTGGTAATATTCCTCAACTTGTCAACCTCTGGTTGGCTACACAAATCATAACATGAGAACATTAAAACTGGATCACTCTGGTGATTCATCAGTTCTAGAGAAAGCTTCAGACCGGCCATCTGAAGCAAAATCCTCTTTAACCATCAAAGCTTTTGACACGTCGTCAAAACCTTTTTGCACCTGCAAAGCTGATAAAGCAAACAGTTCCTGCAGAACAAGCTGATATTGTTTAGACTCCTTCAGAGTCCCAGATGCGCGGTTCCATCCGTCTGTTGTGACCCGGAGACAACTCTAAGACCGGTCTAGTAGTGCTGCAGTTTCTTCTACGGACCTCGGTGCCTGGAAGTCCGAGGACTTCGACATTCCGGATCTATCACGAGGATCTTCGAGTGGGTATGTAGACATGACAGATAGCGTCTGATGTGTTTTTGATAATAATCAACTTCATAGCTTAACGCAACCAAATTCTTTTACATCCAGAACTCAGCTCTCCTAGATACGGAAGTTCTGATAACATCGCATTCACACATAGGTTTCATACATCACATCTAGTTCCATCCATCACAGTAAATCTTAGTTAACTTGTCATGTTTTAATTGTTGGTAAAATAAATTTTTACTTTTATAAACCTGACTCTTTCCTGAATCAAAACGAAGTGTGTATAATCCCTTAATGAATAAAGAATCCTAGAATCTTCTGATAAACACAGTAAAGACCAAGCAGGGTTGATATTCTATATTTAGATAGAGCATCACAGCTTATTGGTCATAAGTAGAGGTAATATATATTGAGCTATTAAAGCACTCAATTTACCAAACCCTACAATTTTGAGGAATTTCTTTACAGAAAAAGAATGCTTCTAGCTGCTACAATGGCAACAACTCTCTGGCGAGGCAGTGTAAATATAGTCTACTTGATGCAAGGAAACATACGTGCTGTTATCCTTCAACTTCAGCAACGCAAACTTTTTGTTCTGTGTAAGCTGTGTAAGACAAATACAGAATAACTCAGATTTACTGCAGAAGCTTTAAAGCACCGACTTAATTATTAGTGAGCCCACACACTCAGAGAAGTCACAGCTTTCTGGCAAATTCTTCACAGAGGATGGAACTGAATGCCTCTTCCTCCTGTACTGCCTTTATCACTCTATTGATGCAATATGCTGTAACCCAGCCCTTCTGACTGAGCAGATATTTAATACTGGACTGTGCCTAACATTATAAATGGCCTGCTACATGTCATCCTTTTACCAAAAGTTGCTGTGCAAAAAGGAGGAACCAGAAACAACCTGTCCTTGAAATACTGCTCCAATCCCCTCCCCTCTGCGCATCCACACAAATTGCAACCTGAAACTTAAAAATGTAACTCAATTTAAGGTCAAAGGATGGGCGTGCAGAGCAAGCCCCCTTTAGAGTCAATAAATTAGGTAAGAAAATAAACGCAAGCTGTCAAACTGTGACAGGAGACGGACAGTAAGAAAGAGCAAAGATCACAGATCCCATCAAATACTCTCCAGCCTTGCTGCGGGGCTGGTGTGCCTCTTTTTTGGGCTTTTTCTTTTTTGCATGTTGAGATGGAGACAAGCAGAGGGGGTGGGGGCAGAGTGCTGCGAAGAGTGATGAAATGCGATGAGACACAGTTTGAGTGAGTGCATACTAGCTGAGTGGGGGAGAGAGGGAGAGAGAGAGAGAGAGAGAGAGAGAGAGAGAGAGAGAGAGAGAGAGAGAGAGAGAGAGAGAGAGAGAGAGAGAGAAAGGGAGAGAGTGAGAGAGAGAGAGAAAGGGGTGGAGTGTGCGAAAGTGGATGAGAAAGAGTGAGAGAACGAGAGAGGAAAGATGGACATAAATGGCTGTGAGTTAGCATGGCCTACAATTTTTTTCTCTCAGTTCGAGCAAATCGAGGCCACTAATGCAGCAGTTAGGCAGCTTTTCAGGTCACTCAAAATGCTGAGCTAAAACGGTAGCTAGACCTAAATCCATTGTTAATTTGATGGAATTAAAGACGCTGCAGCCCACTAAAGGTTCGGTGCATGCTGCAGCACATCACGCCACTAAACGTGGACCAAACTGTCAGTTTCATTACTAAAAACTGCACGAGTGTTACGGCAATGAATGTAAATATTCTTACTGTTTTCGTATTGATGACACAGCCTTTCAGTTAATGTGACTACAGCATTTAGCTGAAACATTCTCTCCATTATCTTCCTCCTGAGCTGGTTTCCTCTCAGTCCTGCAGTAAGAAAATAAAAGCACGTCACAAGTGATTTATCTGAATTTGTGAAGAAAAAAAACGACCTTGTAAATATGAGGAATGAGCTAAATGTGTGTTTGTGCGGTTTGTGATGATTTCATTAGAAAAAGTGTTTAATATTTTAAAAAGTCATATTTGCCATGAGACTGATATGTTGTCCTACTTAGCTGGACAAAAACAACAAATAATGACTGAATTAGTTGCTGGAAAAAAACACTTAACAGGCCTGAAGAGTTTTAAATCTTAAAAAAGAATAACATTCAGGTGTTTGACATTAAATTAAGTATTTCACAGACATCTTGACTTTTTGTAGGAAAATTCCTTAGCAGTATCATTTACTGATTATATGAATTTAAAATATAATATATCAAAAATATAAATGGTCTGACACCAAGTGTCCATAATGTCTTCCTCAGTTTCCTAAATAATAAACCGTTGTCTATAATGTCAATAGAAGACTGTTCTATTCTATTCTATTCTATTCTATTCTATTCTATTCTATTCTATTCTATTCTATTCTATTCTATTCTGATGATTAATCAGATAACAGTTTATTGCAGAGGACTGCATAAACAGATAAAAAGTGCTCCTGGTTGCAGACTAGGGCTGCACAATCTATCACAAATCTGTTGTCATCCCAAATAAATGTGCTCAATATCAATATTGCAAAGAACTGCTAGAACTGCAATACGTATTAGCCGGATATATTCTAAGTGATGTGTATTTGCATGCTGATGTGATGGACTCTTTCTGTTCCTGGTGCCAACATCCAGATTAGATCACGGTAAACACACAGAAAAGATTGAGAGCTTCATAACAACGCAACAGTGAGATAAATTAGCTAAATGACTGTTTGTCTTCATTTTAGAATGATGTTTTCTTCTAACATCACAAAGTTTGATTTTATTATTATTTTCACAAATGACCTTGATTTATGAGCCTCTATCACCCACCTATGATGTTCAGTACTTTGACCTGATTTAATCTTTAAAAGACTTCTGCATCTGAGCACTAACCTTGGAAATTTGAAGTAAATCGTTGTTTCTTCTGAATTATTTTCTTCATTTCTTCATTTGAAAATCCAATGTATATTTGTAATAAATAAATAAATAAATAAAAATTCACATTTTACCTTAAAGGCACAGATGGCCGCTTTTCTTGCTTTTTTTTTAATCTTTTATTTTCATTTATTGACATTAAAATAAAAATACAATCAGAACTAAAATTGCTGCAAGCCAAAATGAAAAAGGGGACAGAAAGAAGAAAAACTTATGTTGTCTGCCCCTTTTAACTAAAATAGCATTAATACAAATGAAATAATCACATGATTCTTAAGGAAATTGAACAATATAGTTCCTGGACTTGTTGGCCGACAAAATCTCAACCCACCCCCTAGTGTCCGTTGTTAATTCTCTGTGGTCAAAACGAAAATGAAACTCATCTCCTCGCTTGTGCCTTAGGGTTGGGATTTCAATACCTTAAATTAACTGCAGAAACATCTCCCAGCCTTCATTAGTGTCTACAGGAGTGATCCCTCACTAATTTAAACAAATTATCTGTTTTAATGATATAAAACATGCAGGAAAAGTATTTGAAGCAAACTGCAGAGCCAGGTAAATCAGTTATTTTTTTCCCAACAGGTGGCGGCCACCACACTGAAGTTGCAAATGCAGTATTCTGGCCACAGAGGGTGGTGGGTGTCTGAGTGACATTTCATTCACCCTGTGGGTCATTTTAGCACATAATGGTTCAAGAAAATAATTTTAAAATGTGGAAAAAGTGGCAAAGTATCCCTTTAAAACAGATTAGTTGTCATGTTAAGATGTAGAATAACAAATAATCATTTTTGTCTTATAAAATAAGTCGATATTTGAAGTGATAAAGCAGGGATGGGGTGTTTTGACAATTTTAGATATATATTATTAGGTCTTTGTTGGTAAAACACAAATCAAAATCAACTTTTATCGAGACTGAATTACATATTACCATTATTTTGGAGGGAACATTTCCCAATATGTGATAGCAAATGAAATGTTGGTACTACTAATAATAAATCTTCCACAAAGAGGAAAATTAAAGTGGCTTTTTATAAAAAATATTGTACAAATTAAGCTTTCAAACTGCATTTTACTAATAATTCACCCTATTTATTGTTAAATGCTAAGGCATGCGTGATAAATCCAAACTACACTGAAACATATCCACCAGTCAGTTAGATGAGTGAATAATCCTGATAAAAGCATGGAGAAGCTGCACCACCCCAGACCAACATCACATCCGCCCAGCTGCTGTTTAAACCACTCAGACACGAGCTCAAGTGTTTATTTAAATAAGTCCCCTGTAGCCTGCGGAGTCTTTTATAAACCCATTCACAGACAGACGCAGTGTTAAAATAACGGCACCAAAACAAGTGAAGCGGCATGAGTCACCTTCACACCCACTTCGGACAAAATGTTCACTTGTGGCTCTCAAATTTCACTTCACGAGTGAAAACAGGAGACCAGATTTAAGGGGTGCCATGAGGGCAGACAGCCAATCAGCTGTTTCTGTAAAGCTGCTTTTTTATCATCTTACCTGCATGTGGACAGCGCTTGTTGCCAAACTGGAGAGGGTTTATCCGTAACTTCTCACGCAGGGCATCAGCGTCGGAGGATGTTGTCAGAAATAGAAAAGAAGGAAGAGGGTCGCGTTAGAAACCCGCCTTATTTCTCCGCTGACCTGGAGAGTCTTCTATGGTGAAAGCAACAGTCCCGCTCCTCTGTGGTCTCCATGTTTGAGCTCTGTGTTGGTCTAGACGCGTCAGAAAACCGAGTGATGAGCAGGCAAAGGGAGGAGAGGAGAGAGGAGAGGACCTGCCTCTGAGCCGGGATACACACTGAAGCTCTGCTGCTGCATCCAACCTACCGACTCCACTCAGATAGGTGGGGTGGGGTGTGGGGTGTGTGTGTGTGGGGGGGGGGGGGGGGGGGGGGCAGATTGAATGGCCTCAGTGTGTTTAGGTGAACACTCATTCATCTGTAGTCAGCTCTAGTTCTCCTGTTCACATTTCAAACGGCACCTCACTGGGTCTGAAGGACACAACTTTTATCATTTAGCTTCTCTACAAGGTTCCATGTAAATAAAAATAAAAGCACACAACTTGAACACATTTATGATAGAAAGGTGTTTATTTATATCACTGCAATAGCCGCAAAATGTTACATAACTAAACCACCATGCAACCTGTATCAAACCAGAAACAACAGCAACTGGTCAAAAAAAATTTTTTTTCAAGAATTTGATCACCATAATACATTCTCTCTGTAAAAAATGTGGAATTAAAGGGGAATTAGGCAGTTTTGACTTGCTTTTAGCACCCCCTAGTGCCCTTTTGAACAACAGAAAGCAAAATTTATCTCCTTGCTGTGTGTTCATATTTTTAACACCTTAATATAACATCTGAAATATCTCCCAGCCTTCCTTAGGGTCTACAGGGCATTTTTAAATGGCTTGTTTTAGGCACATAATTCCTAAAACCAAACGCTGACAGAAAACAAATGGACTGGGTTTATTCATGTCTAGAGTGTTTACAGAGGCATTACAGGCCCACATGTTACCACAAAAGGATGCTAAAGGCGAGTGCTGCATAAAATGCCCCTTTTACCATCCGGCATATCTGTGATCAGCCCAGTGCTGCTGCAGAATTTTCTTTAAATGTATATTTACAATATTGAAAAACACCTGTAAAAAATTCTCTACCGTCAGCACACACTTCTTTATAATTACCTGTTTTATATTTAATATTTGATCCCTTTGTTGATTACCTTTGGATAAAACTTTGGGTACAAGATGTTTTGTTTTAACACTAAGCAATGCACAAAACTGAGATTCAACAGTTGACTTAATTCAGAGTTCAACAACTGATGTTGTGCATCAACTGCGCCATTAGAGGCTTTTTAGCAGGCAAATAGAGGCAGAAAAGTCTCAGCTATTAAAACAAGTTAACAAAATTGGCATCACATCTCTGCTATTGGCTAACCATGACCTCTACTTGTCAGCATTGGTATCAGCTGTAGCATAGTCTATCTACATAACTAGGATTTAATGCTGTTTTTAACAGAAAAACTCATATTCATGGATGAGACGTTTTATTGTAACGTCATAAGCCCAAATCCTCCAAGCTTGCAAAAACTAGTTCATATAAAATTATGTTTTCAAACATAAAGTTGTTGCATTCATAAGATGCTGAGCATCACCACGGTTTAGAGTCTGCATCAATATTGTCCACCGTGTTAAAACCAGATGCTTTCAAATACAATCATCTGCAAAGTTGACTTTTATTAGAAGTAACAAGAAACCTAAAGAGAAAGAGACACTAGCTCTTCCTGTTTTCCATAAAAGCACATTTCCTGAACAGGAAATGGAATTCATTTTGTCAACAGGAGAAGGTTTTTTTTTCTGTGCAGCCTAAAATGAAATGAGAGTCAGAGGGATGTGATGTGCATTCAGGACCAGGGACAGCTCTCAGTGGGCAGCCTGCAATAGACCAAACACTTTGCTCTTTTTGTTGCACATTTTCTTTGTCTCTCAGTCTAAATTTAGTAGAAAATATTCCAAATATATGCAGAGATCGCCTGGTGAAAAAGGAAAAGATTCACGTGAACATTCACATGTGGCAGAACACGGGAAATAAATAACTTGTGATGTGGCGTGTCAAAACATCAGACCCAGTTTAGTTGTGCTCAAGTTTATTGCTTTATTATGAGCCTGTTCCTGCCTGTCACATCAGGTCACTTCTATTCTCCTGGGGGTGAAGCTATGAACGTTTCTAAATGGGATAGTTCAGATATTTAGAAGCTGCTTTGTGCAGAAGGATTAAGAACTATTATATCACGTCTGTGGAGGATAGCTGCTCTTTTACTGAATTGGACCAGATCTAATCACTTTTTCTTCAACATGAGATTATTCAAACAGTTATGTGTTCATAAGCTTTCCACAAAACACCACTTCCATAGACTTTTCCATTAATTTTTCACATTGAACATTTCCACAACCATTTTTACTTTGCTTGTTAGCTTTCTCGTGTACTTTCTGGTTACAAAACACAACCCTATACATCCGTTTTATAGCCACATTTAGAGAACAAACAGCGTCACGCACACTTAAATAAATTAGCCATTCAGTTTCTGTTCCAAGCCTGTCATCAAAATTGCATAACATGCACGCTAGATTAAAATGTGTGTTGCTGTGGATATAAGTGAAGAAACGTTAACATGAACAAAATTAGCAGAGGAGCAGATTCATGGATGTTTAGTCTGAAAATGTGGAATGAGATAAATATGATTCTATATCTGCAGCAGCATGGACCCTGCAGATAATCCTTAAGTGGACCTGACCTGCTGTGCTTCCTTCCTTTTATAAAGCAGCATCTGTTATGTGTTAGAGAGAAATGAGAGGGAGGATTACCTTCTTAATTAAAACGGACTAATTTGGTTTATTATGTGGGCCCTATGTTCTGAGCACACATCCAATGTAAACATTTGTGTTTAGAGCGTATATTCAATCCTTGCTCTAGCAGTTGTTTTAATACATTTTAGCCATTTTCATCCAGTTTAACCATACATGTAAAAGGCTTGATTTTTATTAGATTTAGCAAATTGTCCTAATTCCCACCAAAACCCAGAGTGCATTTAAAATTCACATCTGGGCTTGAGGTAAATATGCATTTATTTGCAGTTCATTAATGTAGTAAAAAGAAGATGTGAGACGAGTTGAAGCAGAGCTGTGGTCTCATGTTAGGGTCCAGCTGATAAACAGATGGTCTCCCTCTGTCTCTTTCACCCCCTCTCTTCCCATCTCTCTCTCTCTCTCTCTCTCTCTCTCTCTCTCTCTCTCTCTCTCTCTCTCTCTCTCTCTCTCATACACACACGCGCGCACACACACGCATGCACGCGCACGTGCACACACGCACACAATGACAGTTGAAACGTCCACCAACTTCTCTCCAAAGAACATTAAATTTCACACAATCGCAAAGTTATTTTCTAGGCAGGCTTCACAGGAAGACAGAGACATTTCACTTTTCTTCCACAGACTGTGGAAGTCTGGACTAATTAAGGAAATATTCATGCTCGACTCCTGCACCTGCTCATCAACCTGCCTGACAATACTGATTAACTGCCTGTCATGTAAGAAGATGTTTGACAGCTCATTACCAGTTGAAAAACAAAACTTACTGCATTTACTTTAGCACAGATCAGTTGGGTTTTTGGGTATTTTCTAAGACACCTTAGGAGAAAATCGCCACTATCTTTACCAAATGCACTTAATTTGTGTTTAAGCTGAAACCTCAAATAGAAAGGCTGATTTAGACATCAATAAATAAAACAGCATGATAAATCGTCTTAAACTCTGAATGACTTGTACAAATCAAACACACACAGATGCACCTGTCCACCTCTGCTAAACGTTTCCACCTGAATAGGCAGCTGGTGTCAATCGTGTAGCATTTTGCTCAAAGGGTAATTGGATTTCAAATTTAGTGCTTCCTGAACGCCGGAGCGGACACGGCCGAGTAATCAGCATGCACTTGAACTGACTGAGTCGGCGGGAACGAAACAACGTTTGATTTCCTTTTGTTACCGTGGATTATGTGAGCGGTAATTCTGTGAAAGTCATACAATGGAACACCGTTTACTGTTTCGCTACAAATACAAATAACTGCGTTATTTCAATTTATACCAGAGTCTGTTTCCTTCATGCTGTTTATTCACTCATTCAAGACAACTGGCTCTTTTTTCAACTTCTCAAGGGGCAAAAAACGACAAGGCAAAGCACATTAAAACATACAAAATGCATGCATGCTAAATTACCTTAGAAAAATATAAAAGCAACACAGATCTGACAGAAGGTGAAAAAGGATATTACTGCTTGTAATGAGTATTGCTCAAGTGTAAAGTACAACTCACACTCTGAATTGTATGTGTGATTTAATGACGACTGGGATTACAGAACTATGTGTGTGTGTGCGTGTCAGCACCTCCTAAATGTGATACGAACAAGTTCAAAGCACATTTAATTGATGTTAGATTAGAATATTTCGCAGCATGTCCATGCGTGTGTGTAGAGGTGTAGGACCCATTCACAATAAACGAAGAAGCCTCTCAGGAAAAGGGAAAACAATAACAGCCATGTTATGGATGATCTCTGCAACGTATTGACGAGTTTTTCAGGAGGGTTCCCCAACATGCAATGCTGGATATGATTTTTTCATGTGGAGGTCGTAGTGGTTTATCATCATGGTAGCAGGTGGAGTGTGGGCGAGTGAGAAGACTGACATGGTGTAGCTTGTTAATCAAGAATATGAATCAGAGATGATTGTCTCATGCCGTCGCTATGACGTCCTCACATCGTCAGTATTCTGCTGACATAATTTTCTAATGCATCTTTGCATCCTGATTTGCTGATAGAGTTGTGTGAGAGGATGGTGGCACTGCGTGTGTCATGGCCTGTGCTGAGTTAACCTCTGTCTGGGATCTGAGTCTTTCTGTTGCAGGTAGGCGTGTCCCGGAGAGCAGCTGTTGCAGATCGTCTCATCAGTGGTCAGGGGATTTAAGGAGCGGCGTAACAACTCACCAGTGCCGGATGATTACTCTGTGTTGGGTAGTGTCCAGCCTGTGCTCTTGCCTGTTTAAAGATTTGTTTGCTTCCTGTTTTGTCAGCGATCCTCGTATTAATCTGCCCTATTCTCCCGACTGACTCAGGTTCCTCTCATCAACCAAACCTCACTCTTCTTCAGTACTCCTTTGGATCAACCCTGCCTGCCAGCCACGTCGCTCGCCTCTGACCGCCTGCTCTCCACCACTCACCTGCCCGTCCGGACACATTTGGCCTCCTGTTCTCGAGTGCTCAGCTCCCAGCCATT